CTTTAATAGAATCATCAGTATAAAAGATTAGGTTGTCTAAGTTAGAATTTCTAATTGAAGAATAAAATTTGATTAATTAATTTTTATATAAAATTAATTTAACAGTTTGTTAAATGAGTTGTATTTTAGAAGAAGTTAGATTTATTGAGTGATAAAAAAGAGGTAAGGGTTGAAGAGATGTATGATTATTAATATAAATAAATGAAAGAATTTTATTAAAGTCAATTTGTAGTAATTCTTAAGTGAGTTTAAGTTGATTGTAGAGAATACTAATAGATTAAAAGTTTGAAATTATTGGAAATAAAATAGAAATAATTATATTAAATTCAGATAAGTAATTTTGAAGTTGATAAAAATTAGTTTGTTGAGAATGAGTTTGTTACAAAAAGAAGATTTGTTGATTATTATTATAGAAGATTTTGTAGAGAAAGAAATAAGTTAAGGTAAAAGAAAGAAAGTCAATTAAGTTAATAAAAGAGTTTTTGAAAGAAAGAGTTAAATGAAACCAGATTGTAGTGATATTGTAATTTTAGTTAGAAGAAGAGATTTGTGTAAATCATGTTGGTTAATAGTCTTGTGTAGGTTTATTTGTTTGCAGATATATATTATTTCATGAAAAAAAGTGTAAGTTGTCTACTATTGTAATTTGTTCAAGAAACAAAATTCTGTTGTTTTTTAAGCTTTGAATAGTTAGATTGAATAATTTTAGAGAAAGTATATTATATATTGTTTTGTAATTTGTAAAGATTTCTGATGAGGGTAAGAAGTTTAACAGTGAAATAGTATTTTGCAAGTTGGTAAATATAAAAAATTAGTGTAAAATTTTGTGTTTTGCAATAGTAAGCATTAAGTATATTTATAGTGAATTTATGTTGTCAGGTTTTGAGAAGCCAGGCCTTAATTTGCAAAATATTAATAGTATTAAGTAGAGATATAGAGTTAAAAATATATTCAATATTAGAAGCATTTAATTTTTGTAAAATATTGTTGTGAGTTGATAGATTAAAGGATAATTGATTAGCAAAAATAATATTATTAGTATTTCTTACTAGTGCTAGCATTTTTTTAGATTGGATAGTAAATATATAAGAGAGTTTAGTTTAAATATTTTGGTAAATTGGAGTTATATGTAATAAATATTCTAGAAAGAGTTGAAGAATAAGATTGAAACAGCTAAAATTTGTAATAATATAATTTTTTTGTATTTAATAAAGTTAAGAAAGCTTTAATTTTGTTAAGAATAGCATCAAGAATTGGGTTTAAGAAGCCATTTCTATTATAAAATATGTCTAGATATTGAATAATATCTTAAAATCTTCTAAAAGAAATGGTTTAGTTATTAACAATAAGAATAGTTAAGAAAAAGATAGATAATTTTGGTTTAATATGTAGAAAATCTGATTTGGAGGAGTTTATTTTGATATTGTTAAGTTTGTAAAAAGTAGATATATTATTGAGTATATTTTGTATTGTGAATGAGTCTTCACAATGTTAAGTAGTATTATCTATATGGACTAATAGAGAAATAGTAATTGATTGAGTAGGAGTATTAGAAATAATATCAAGAGGTAATTATGCAGATATTTTGAGAAATTGATTTTTATATTTTTAATTAATAAAAAAAAAGAGTAATGTCATAATAGATTTTCCAGAATAAGAGTAAGTAGGTTTCTTCTTACTCTATTCTAGATTTAACTTAAACAGGTTGTATAAGGCCATGATCAGTGATAATTCTGACAAGTTAAAAGGTATGTAATTCTGTAATAAGATTTATATCAGAGGTTAAAATACCAATTTGTTTGCAGACATCTTGTAGTCTTGTAATATTGATTTTATCAAAGGTTTTAGACATATCTTAAATAATATTCAAGCTTCTTTGTTATTAGTTTTGTAGTATTTAATTGTATTATATAGAATTTAAATTAAAGTGTAGGTAAAAAGGTTTTTGGAGGCTGCAAAGTTAAAATTAGAAAGAAGCTTATTGAAAGTAATAATCTTATCTAGTCTGAATATAAAAATTTTTATAAAAGTTTTCTTAAAGAGTTTGATGATAGATATAGGTTATACTTGAATAAGAGTATAGTCTCAGTTTGATTTTTTTGAAATAAGAAAATATTAGAGAATTTCCATTCTGTAGGAACTTTTTGAAGTTAAAAACATTTGTTTAAAAAAAGTCTAAAAAATTTTGTGCTTTGGAGCTTATATATTTAATATATTTATAACAAATTTCAAAGAAGCTATTAGCTTTTTGATTTGAAAGATTAAAAATAATCTCTTGTCATTCTTGTTGTATGATTTCTTGAATAAAGTTTTGGTAGTGACTTTTGAGTTCAGGATATGGTTTATATATATCTAAGTATTCATTAGTTGGTGAAATAGTTTTTAGAAGTTTAAATTCAAAGTAAGTAGTAAAATAAGCATGAATTGCATTGAATATTTCATCATGTTCAGTTAGAAGTAAGTTATTTGTTAATAGTCTGTCTAATGTATATATTATTATATTTTTTGAGAATCTTTTTGTAGAAAAGTTTAGAAGTTTCAGAGAAAAGTTTGTTTTAATCCTTAATTTTTGTTTAATTTCATTATATGTGATTTGATTTTAATGATAATTAAGAGTGATTTTGGTAAAATAAAGTTCATTTTTGAGATGAGAAAGAGTAGGTAATAGGTTTTGAATTGTATTATCAAGATATTTAGACAAATAGTTTTGAAGTAATAAATTAAAATTAGATGAATTAATATGATTTTTAAGAAAAAGAATTTCTTTATAATGATAATAGAGTTAAGAATATTTGAAAAGATTAGTTTCTTTAATGTTTTTAATGGTGTTTACTTTTTTGAATAGGATATATTTAAAGACAGCTTTAATTAGAGCTTTGTGAATTTGGTTTCAGATCTTGTTAAGTTGGTTTTGATTAGAAATTGTGGAAAGTTTAATAAGCAATCATTAAAGGTTTTGTATTGTTTAAGTAGCATAATTCTTAAAAGAAGTTTTTAGGCAGTTTTTTTAAAAGAAGATCTTTTTTTTTTATTGTTTGTAAGGTTTAGATTTATTGACTATAATAGAAATTTCTAAGCTAAAAATATTGTAATTAGATTCTATTAAATAATTTTGAAGTATATTAGTGTATTTAATATTTATAATTAATAAATTGGTCCAGATTTGATCAATTTTACTTTGTATATTAGATCATTAAAAGGTGTAATTAGTCTAATTAGAAAAGAAGAGTCAATAAATATTTTTATATTGAAAACTAGAAAAGAATTTAATGAGTTGGTGTTTTGGAATAAAGAACTTTTTGGTAAAAATCTATCTATATAAGAATTAGGAACTCTATTAATGTCATCTATAATTATAATTTTATAAAGTGAGTTTTGAGTTAGTAATATTATGAGTTTGAAGATTTTATTTTATAGTCATTTCTTTTTTTAAGTTGGAATATAGATATGAAGAATTCTAATAAGAGTGTTTTTAAAATATAAATAAAATCAACAATATGACTTTTGTAATTATAAGAGCATGCAATATATTTGAAGATATTTTTGTAAATAAGGATTTCTACATTAGCTTAATATGATTTTTAAAAAGAACTCCAGAAACTGAAATAGTTGGAGTTTTGTATTTTAAGGTATTTAGTTTCTTGAATAGAGAGGTATGTTTCTGAGAGGCCTAGAATATCAAAAGCTTAAACATTGAGCATTTCAGTGAATGACAGTTTTTTGTTTAATTGTAATAAACTATTAGTATTTAAAAAACCTATTTTAATAATAAGAAAAGTATATTTAACTGTAGGATTAAGTAAGTTAGAGTTGTTGTTTGTTTTTTTAGTTATTGGTATTAAAAGTATAGAACTTGTATATAATTTAAGTAGTATATATGTTCTATGATAGGGACACAAATATTTTTCTAATATTATTTTAATAGATAAATAATATTAAAAGCTTATATTACACAAGTAAGTTATTCTAGTTTTGGATATCTTAAAAGATACTGTTAAAAATATAATAGCTAATAGAAACAAACATAATAATAACTCATTTTTATCTTTTAAAATCTTAAACAGCCTAAAAGAAAAAATTACAATACTTTTATATAATAAAATTTTATATACTAACAATATTGGCATCAATTATTTATACTAATTTTATTAAACTTATTATCAAATAATAGGATTGTTTTGTCTAAATAAAAACTTCTTTGAATATTGAATGCTTAAGCTATTATTATGATTGTAGTAAACAAACAAATATTTTTTATAAAATATTAAAATAATATTGCATTTTATTATCAATATTTTTAATATTATTTTGCTAATATTGAAGATAATAACAATATATTACATTGTTCTAAGACTTTTATAAACAAATCTTTCTGTTATTTGAATCAAAACTTATATAATACTTGGCTTTCTTATAAAAATATAGTTTATACATTAGAACATGTCCTCTAGCAGTAAATTTTAATATAATAATTGTTTTTTATAATAATAATACTAATAAGCTTAATGATAAGATTATTTTAAATACAGTACATATTTGAAATCTATTAATTAGGACTATAACATATATTATATAATATTAATTTACTATAGACACCTACTTCTCCACTTCAAGGTAATATAAAAAAAAGAGCCAACTAAAGCAGGAGCAATTTCACATGACTACAGCCAAGCAAAGTATAGAATTTTAATGATTGCTAGTAAAGCAAAACAAGAAACAAAAACAAAAAACCTAAAAAAATACAAAGAATAGCAGTTTTATCCATCTCAGATAGGTTATGTAAAAATGTCAGAAAGGTAATTTTGCTTATATATAACTATTTAAAACCTAGCCTAACTCTAATATAAGATGTCTCTAACTGTAAAGTTAATTGGAAAAATTATTAAAAAATAGGAGTTGCTTCTGTTTTCCAAAATTAGCAATTTTAATTGGCTAAACAAGACACTAGTTACACTATATTATATAGTTTACTTCATACATCACTTTTTTTTTTTATAAAAATGAATAATCAGTTTAAACTTGGTTTTTGCTATGAAAAAAATATAGGAACTTCCAAAGACAAAGAGAAAGCTTCTGACATTAGAAATTCTGTTAAACAAATTAGCAATAATTTTGGTAAGTAAAATAAAAGTAATAAATCCATCAGATATAACAAAGAAGGCAATTCAAATAAACAAAATAAACTTGGCTTCTGCAATCAACAAAATGTAAACACTGACAAGAATAAAAAGAAAGTGTTGCATCAAATGTATTTTTTAACTCCAAAGTTTAAAAAAACCTGATTTATAATTCACTAGCAAATAAATATCAAGAGTTTACAAATGCATACATATATAGTATTATGATGAAAACAGGAAGCAGTACCTCTAATTATGCTAAAGCTTGTAATAAGGCAACTTAAGAATAGAATAAAATCAAAACCAAAAATGCACTAGAAATTGATGATATAATTAAACACTTCATTTAATCTATATAATATACAAATAGTAAAATCAAGATATATATTCGAAAAGACCTTAGAACACTCTTACCCTACTATTCATCTAGTAGAAGCTGTATCTAAAGTCTCCACAAATGCAGCAGCCCAAAAAAAAGCAGCAAATGAAATCACTATAGCAAAAAAAAAAATTACAGAATTCAAGCAAATTTACAGCATTTCAACAGATTCTCAGTTTAAACATGATATATATATAAAAATAAGCAATCTTCAGACTCAAATTAGAGCTAATAAAGATAGAATTGCCAAATTAAAAAAAAAAATGCTAAGTATACTCAAAATTGTAGAAAAAAAAAATTACTTATTGAAAATTATGAAGTAATAAACTATGATAGTTTAGGTTGTCTATTACTTCTTTTTCAATATCCAAACCTATATAACCACATTTATGAGTCTGTTAAATTTGGATTAGCTAAGAAAAGAAGTAGTTAAAGTGTGAATAATAAAAAATTTGTACAAAAACCTTGAAAACAATTATAGTGTCTATATGGCACAAATAACATTAAATAATTACTTATTATCTTATTAGTCCAATTCTATCATAGAAAAGCATATTATTATTCAGCATAGGTCTCAGTTCCTGGAGTTTCACATACTAATACACATGAACACCCCAATGGTCATTACTGCTTTGCATCTGTTAAATGTGCAAAACAATTTGCATCTGTTTTTTCTAATATGTTAGTTGTCATCTGTCAAGATGACAAAGCAAAGATAGGTTTTGAAATACCTGCTGTAGGTCAAACATTTTATATATTACAATCAATTAATAATCCTATTTGTATAGCAGATCATAATTTTGTGATAGGATTTGAACAAAAATTAGTTCTTTCAGTATACCTTTTAATGAAACTAGATGAATCAAATGATGAACCATGAACTGGGCAACTTGCTATTTTTGTATATTGCTAATAGTCTCTTGGCACATCTTCATTTACACATATCTAAGATTTTGACAATCTTACTATAGACCCTTAATATGATAGTATTTTGAAGACTGGTAAAGAAATTCAGCTGATTTGGGTTTTGTTGATAGATGGTGGACCAGATGAAAATCTGAGATACTTAAAAAATATTAAATTAGATTGTTTCTATTTTAGAAAGTTTAATTTAGACTACCTAACTATATGAATACATGCCTCTGGACAATCTAAATATAATTCTGTAAAAAAAGGCATAGCAACACTTTCTAGTAAACTAGCAGGTATCATATTACCAATTGATTATTTTGAAACATATTTAAACATGCAAGGCAAAGTAAACAACCAAAAATTGGCATTTAAAAATTTTCAGTATGCTAAAGAGGCTCTCTGTAATATTTGCTGTTATGATTTAATTTTTAAGAAACATGTAAATACACAATATGTTAAAGAATTTACCAACCCTTGTAAGAATTTGCAATTTGAAGGTACTAATAAAGAAAAAGCAGAAGAATCTAAGCAACAAGAAAAAGAAAATCAAAAAAAACTCAAAAAAAACAAAAAGAAAATAAAAAAAAAATTAAAAAGAAAATTAAGAAAAAAATCAAAAACAAGACAACTTAATTGAGTGCTTCATACTATGGTCATAGATCAAAAAGCATTGTAACATATATTAGTACTCTCTTAATATAAAAAAGTGCACAGATACAAGCTGTTGTGGACCATTTTGTGCAAAAGAAGCAATAGATTTTCTGCAGATAAATAATGGTTTCTTATCTATGATTATCAAAGCTAAAAATAGGCATTTTATGAATCCTATACATCTTTTTGAGTATTATGATCTCTTTAAAATTCCTAACTATGATCAACATTGTCCATCTCTTGACGAAACAACCTATTCATAACTTTTTTGTTTCAAGTATAATAAATACTTTTTCACACTTACCTTTTTGATGTATCATAAGAGTTTAATACATTCTGTTAGCCATGGAAGGCTCAAAGGAAAAGCAAAAAGTCAAATTGAATAAAATTCAATGACTCTTGATGATTTTTCTCTCCTTCTGTCACAGCAACATGATCAAATACTCTCACTTGATGAAGTGTATACAAGAGAATGTATATCAGATAAAGAATAAATTACATGCATATGCATATAACATAACTATGATGAAGCACAAGTGGATTAAATAAGGCATTAGAAAACAAAAAAAAAAAAAAAAAACCAAAAACAAAAAAAACATACAGTATTTTTTGAAATTAATGTAATGATTTTGTATGAGTTAATAGAGGTTAGGTTATGAGTTATGTCAAGAAAAATCTGCTCTTAATCTTGGTTTCTAAATAAAATAAAGATGTGCAATATGAATTTATATACTATTTGTTGCACAAGAAATTCTACTTGTTAAAAAGTCTACTGATTACAACAAAACCTTTATATTGCACTAGGTAAAAAAATACTACATATATTCAGTACTTAATTTCTTGATCAAATTACATAATTTACACTAGTGTCTAATCACTCTGAATCAAACTCAAAACAGATAATCAGAACAACACTTCAGTAAGACAGGATTGTTCTACTGAACAGCAAATAATTAAACTAAAACACAAAAACAAAGTATGACTAGTTTGGAGGTGGTCGGTTAGTGACTTGCTACCATAGACTATTAGACTGCAAGATACTAAAAGGTATTGAAAACTGTGTGCAAAACCAAATAATTAATAGTTATCAGGAAGTGTTCATTGATCATGTTACTCATATTAATTATATAATAAATTTTAGACTAAAATGATGATGTAATTTCAAAATAAAATAAATAAATCTAATGAAGAATTATTTATTTTGCAATTTTAAATCTTTTCACTTCTTTTAAAAATACCAAAAGTTAATAAATCAACATTATTAAATGAATCTGAGAATTGTATTTCTTTTTTATTGATCAAGCTACTGTTAAGAATACAAAACATTCTACTACTAACTGGTTAAAAAAATTTAATGATCATTGCAAAGAATATGTATTGAATAGTAATATTGATATTATTTCAGATCAAAAACAGCTTGAATCAAATTTGGTACACTTTTTTTCTTATGCAAAATGTGCTAATAAAGAAGAATACTCTATGAATTCAGTTCTATTAGCAATAGCCGCTTTTCAACATTATATTACTGAAAAATCACCATTGAAAGGAATTAATCTTTGTGATAAGCAGCAATTTCCAACTCTTAATACACTTCTAAATAGAATGATTAAATGGCTTAGCACTAAATGCAAAGGTGAAACAAAGGGCTCTGAATCTCTTACTCTCGATGAATGTCTTCATATTTTAAAACATAACTGTACATCTCTGAATACACTATGAGGATTATTTAATCGAGTTTTTTTCTTTAATGCATTATTTATTGCTTTAAGAAAAGTGAACATTATTTTCTTAAAAAGGATCATTTTCAAAAACATCAAAATGAAGGTTATGATATTGTGATTTATAAATCTAAGACCAATCAACATGGAATTAATAATCCAGAACAAGCTGATAAAATATCTATTCCAAATTTAAACATATTAATAATATATATGACAAGTACTTTTCAAAATGATCTAATGATGCTAGTCCGCATTTTTATCTACAAGCTATTAATGAAAATTCTGAAGGTAATTAAATTCTTATACTATTTATTATTATATACTATTAAATTATATGTTTTATTTTTAAGATATTTTAAACAAACCAATTTGGTATAAAGATAAACATGTTGAAGAAAAAAGGCTTAGAACATATCTTCGTTACATTGTAATTGCATCTGAAATTGATATATCTAATCATAGAATAACAAATCAAAGTAAATGTAAAACAACAATTCAATTATTAAAATCATTTGAGGCTAGTGATTATGAATATATGGCAATCACTCGGCATAAGTCTCAAACAGGTTTTTAACAATATGAAAGAACTAAAAATAATATTCAAATAAATAAACTTGGAAATCTTTCTAGGATGATTATGCTGGATTCAAATTATAATAATTCACAAGGTTAAATTATTTATTTTTATTTATATAAATTCTAGTGCTATTTTAATAATCTTTATTTATTTGTATAGATCAAGTTAATCCATTACTTAATAAAAAAGCAATACTTATAACATCTACTGCTACTACTACACAAGCAACTAGTGCAACACCAACTTTTCAAACTGCTAAAAAAATATTGCAAGGTATAATTTATTAATATCAGTATAAATATTTTAATTTAATTATTTATGTTTAGTAATTGAATTTTAGATTCTCAACTTAATAATATTGAAAGTGTCACTTTATCTACTAAATCTTTACATGAATTATTTGAAAAATTTAATAAATTATCTCAAGAAACTATCTATAATAATTCTAATATTACATATCATATTCACCACCATCATTATTACAATACATCACCTTCACAATAATTTGTTTATATATTCAAATTTTTCTTAATTTGCTATTTGCATTTTAATTCACTATTTGTATTTCGATAGTTTGTTACTTGCATTTTCATATTAATGTAACTACTATAGCTAAAGCAAAAATTGAATTAAAATTATAATCTCCACTTATTATATTAATCTTGAACTCAATAAAAATTAATATACTGTGATATAGTATTAATATAGGTAACATGATCAATAGTAACTATCAGATAATTATAATTATGCATTCTTTAGTATTATGAAATGCCTTGTAATAGTTGTTAGGCTGCATTAAAAATTATTATATACATAGTAAAATTTGTATTATATTAATTTTCATTTTTGGATTATATACAGTAATTTTAATTATTATTAATAAAAAAAATTTTATTGGCAAATGCTTAATATATATATAAACTGATGATAATTGGCTATTATATTTATATATGTAATCTAAGATTTTATATAATCCCAACACTCCCAAAAATATTATGTAATATATGTTATTGCCCTTATATTAATAAAAAATTATAGATATAAAAAAATAATGCAAATACATAAAAAAATATTTTAGATATAATTAAGAATATCAATTTTGTTTTAAATAAGATTAACTATTATAACAATTTTAATACTAATATATTCAAGAATTTATTAATAAACTTTGTGCATTAATTACTAATAAATATAAATCTGTTAATATTTATATGAATAGCACATAGTATTATAAGTAGCATGTTAACCAAATTTTATTATCTAATATAAAAAAACAGAAAATTATAAATCAACTAACTAAAAAATATATAAAATATTTCAATAACTTATATAAAGTGGAACTTTTATAACTTTTAAAAAACAACTGTTCTATTTACATGTATAAAAATAGTTAAAAAACATTAATATTAGAAATTTTTTACTTTACAATATTACTGTAAGCTTTAGCTAATTAAAAGTATTTGATTAGTTATAAAAAATAAAGTATTAAGGTTAGATTTTTATGCAAGTCTTTTGATATTAGAAACAAATATTTATTTGCTTTTAATAAAAAGATAAATTCAAATATAATTACTAAGTATTAATATAAAGTGCTTAATAATATGAAAAAATAATCAATATATAAAAAATATATATTATAACTATTATAAGTATGTTTATTTTAAATTTAGTAAATTCTTTATTGCTAAAGAAAAATTATAATTTGATAGTCATATAATAATAATCTTATAATAAAATTAGTAATTTATTAATTATATATACTGAGTTTTATAATATATATAAAAAGTTTTAAAATTTTAATTTTTATAACCTTTTAATAATAATGATATTTATTTGATTTTTTTTAGTTATTAAAAAGATTATATTAATTTTTTAAACTATTTGTTTATTTTATTATTTAGTTGAATTGTTGTTTGGTATTTAAATTATTTTGTTTAGTTTTTGAGTAAACTGTTTATATTATTTAAATTTTTTACTATAAAGTATTTTTTGTATTGTCTAAACTATGTATTTTTATATAATAGTTTAAGTATTGTTGTAATTAATTATCTGTTTAATAAAATATATTCTTAGTTAATTTAAATATAACTTTAATTGCTAAATATAATACATAGTTTATAAACTTAGTTTGCATCTTATATCTAATAAATTTAAAAGGTATAGTAATCTAGTAAAGTGGATAAGTTGTCAACCCTCAAGTGGCAGGTCTAAGGTTCAATTTCTACAGAAGATGAATTTTAGAAATTATAACTATATTATAGTAACTGTCTCTTGCTGATCAGTTGGGTTTTGGTTATCTGTAATCTTAAATATACCAAGTTAGGCCCCACTTAACATTGGGAGCTTAGGACATCTATGCAAATTGTAATGTTATATATACATAAAGAAATGTAAAAAACCAATGTCATATAAGGCTTCAGTGCAAACCTATAATAAGACCATTAGGCATAGAAGGCTAAAAAACTAAGAAGACAAAAACCCACTTGGAAATCCTGAGTAAAGAGATAGCACAAACTTTTGATGATGCCATTGGACTAATAGAAGCTTATGAAACATCTTTATGGGAACTGTTAGATAAACCAGATAAAAAGATATGTATAAAAGCATATGACCAACCAGGCTGTCAGAATTACTAAAGAAAAAAGATATATAAGTATACTATACTAGGCCATCTGAATTGGAAATCTGAGGAGTTGGTTAGTTCCAAGTTGTAGCTAGTAGAGGATAATAAAGAAGAAGTCAGAAAGATAAGTACCAAGTTTAGATGAACTTTACAAGGATAATAGCAGTTTAAGAAATAACCCTAACTGCAAATGTTGGTCTCAGCTATAGCATCAAACAAGGTTAGTAGTAAAAGAAAATACAGCTCATTCTAATAGGTTTACCTCAAGAATAAAAATAGTTTAAGGATTATAGTCCTATGGTTAAAAGTAAATAAATCTGAATCTGTAATCTGGTAAAATTAATATCAGGGTCAGATCAGAGGGTTTAAATAGAACATCTAAGCAGGAGTATTAGGTATGACAACTGGTAGAGAACCTTTGGGTGAATTTCTTAAATAGGTAATATAGAAAAAAGTTACACATATAACCAATTGTACACTTATCTGATAGTTCATTATGAATACATCTATATAAAATATGTATCTAATATAAGTATTAATAAAAAGCTATAACCAAAAAGGTCACCTTAATACTGAAAAAAAAAATATATCTAATAAATTTATAAATTTGTTTTTATTTTATAAAATAGATATTATTTTATTATAGTTTTATAAGACTTTATTAAATGCTTAATCTGTTTATTTTTAGTTTGTCAATAATTTTTGTATTTAGTTTTTTATATAATTATTCTGTTTTGTTTTTTTTTTTGAGTTAAAGTCTCTGTCTATGGGAGTTGATGTTTTTATTCATGTATTTGGACTCGGGTGCCTCCAGGGGCTCCCTTACATTGGAGGTTACAACTAGTCATACATGCACTTTTGGTGCCTAATTTAAGTAGTCCGCCTATACATTACTATATAGGTTTTACACTAGGTGCCATACATGCAAGCCAACTACAGGTCTTGTCTATTTAAACCCTCTGCATATATAGTCCACCATGTCTCACAGGGACATCTTCAAGACTACACCCATCCAAAATACCCGATGCCTTCAAGTACCCTTAGGACTAGTTTATCCTTGACAGAAAACTTACTAGAACCTTCTGTGTTCTACACACAGCTGATCTAGTTTTATGCAACATGCTATAGTTATCTAACACTTGCAGTCACAGGGGTTACCTGTTTAACTGCTACATTACACTATTTTTACCTTTGTAAAGTTCACTAGAACCCCAGTACCTATTATCGTGACATCTTCTCCATCATCCCTTACTAATCACTACTTAGGACCAACAGGACTCCCCCAACTTCCAATCTAGATAGCCTAATATAATATACTTATGTATCCTTTTCCTCTGGTAATTCCAGCGGCCTGGTTGGTCATATGCTCCTCTACACATCTTAACATCCAGTTTATCTGCCTATCTCTTTGGGGGTGTTTCATGGGCTTCTATCAGTCTGACCATATCGTCAAAAGTTCATGCTATCTCTTTACTCAGGAATTTTTAAGTGTGCTTCCGACTCTTCAGTTCCTTAGTTTACTGCACCCAGTGGTCTTATCATGGGTTTGCACTGAAGTCTTATACGATACCGTTTATTAACATTCCTCTATATACATGTAACATTACACTTGGCATAAATGCCCCAAGCTTCCATCCGAGATTGTGCAACTTAAGGTTACAGATACACAAATCCAACTGATCATCAAAAGACAGTTTGCTATAACACAGGTTAATTTCCAAATTTCGTCATAGGTGGGATTTGAACCTTAGACCTGCCACTTGGAGGATGACAACCCAACCATTATACTAAGATCGCCATCCTCCATTATTCTGTTTTGTGTTTTGTGTACTAACTATATATATTATATTTTTTTAAGCTATTTGGCTATAAGTTACAGATATTGTTATTTGATTTTTAAATATATTAATAACTTGATAATGCATAAAAGTTCTATTTTTATTTGGTTACTGTTTGCTAGTAAAACTGTATTTAAACTTTTAATAAGCAATGTTTTTTTATTATAATAATTATTGTATTTCTGTTGATCAATTGTATTATATTGATTTGATGCAATATATATATTGCTAATTTCTCATATAATAGTATTAAGATGGTTGTTGTTGTTTGTAATATATTAGTTATTGTTGCTGCTTGCTATTTTGGTTATATTACTATCAAAATCTATTTATATTTGTTTTGTTTTATTGTTGTTATTTACTGTTCTGCTTTTTTATATATTTGAGTTTTTGTATTGTTGTCAATTTTGTTTTTGTGTTGTATTTTTTTATATTGAAATGTTATATTGCTTCAAATGTAAAATTATTAATTAATATAAAGGCCTGTTGCTTAGCTTTTTTGTTTATAATAAGTGTTATCTCTCTTTTGCATTTTATTTTGTTTTGTATTGTTATTGTTGTAGTTTTTTTTATTATCTATTATAACTGCTTTATAATTTATTTAGTTATTGAATTTTTATTATATATTTGTTTTGTTTGTAATAAGTATTGTTTTTCTTTTACACTTTATTTGGTCTTATAATGTTGTTGTATTTATTTATTATTTGTTGTAACTGCTTTATAATTTATTTAGTTATTTAATTATTATTATATGTTTGTTTTGTTTTTTTTGTTTTTTTTTAGAATTTTGTGATTCTTAAATAAGAATTTTTGCAAATAGGGTAATGGGAGTTTGAACAACAATAGATATTATTGTACTTGAAATAATAAAGGTTCAAACAATATTAAATAATATTGTGCTTGGGGTATTGAAAACTGTGCAAAAGCAACTAGAAATATTGTTTATATCATTTGTTATTTGTTCTTAAAACACTTAGGGCTTGTGTTTAGACACTTGGATCCATACAAAGGTACTTGGGATTTGTGCAAGAATAATTGAAGTT